ATTCCTTTGTCTATCACTTAAGAGCAGTGTTTGCACTCAACTGTAAGCCATTAAAAACCTGGAGAAGGAAACAGCAAACACGCCAAAAGGTCTGAGTGTCTCACATGGTTCTTGGCATTTTGTAGGTTCACTTACATGCGTCAATCTTCTTCACTGCCCTCCTGCAGGGAGGATATGGTGCTCCTTCAGTGCGTTGGGATATTGAAGTTTCAGAGAGATCCGTACCACACGAAGGTAGCAGAGTCGATAAGAGGTATGACCTATCCTAGTGTGGGTGTATGGGAGGATCTCCTATTGCCATAACTCTGACATCTTAGCTCCCACCTTACCACAGAAATCAAGTTATTTAACCTGAAAGTGAATATTTTTCATGGAAATATGGATGGTGTTTCTCACGTATGTTATTTCCTTTTAGACTTTTACGGACCGTGTTCATCACTCTTTTTAACATTGTCTCCAACATCTTACCTGTTTTAGCCATGGGATTTTTGACCAGGTATGTGTTTTTCTCTGTTCTTTTATAGCTTAGCTCTCTGTTAAACCTTTTATTGCTTCTAGCTAAAGGAGAAGACATGATTCACAGAAACTAAGCCTTAAAGAATGAGGTGTTTTAATAGGTGTGCATGGTCACATCCCCTTCCAGATCCCCTTTCTCTGTCCTTGCTTTCCCCCAAAGGGTCCTCTGGATCAAAATTTGGCTTATCTCTTTCCTAGAATTTGTTAACCCCACTTTTTTTTTTTAGGCAGTACTAAGGTTTCGAACTTCAGGACTTTGCACTTGCTAGCAGGTCCTTACCATTGGAGCCATTGCCTCTGACCCTTTTTGCTTTAGTTATTTATTTATGTATAGGGTCTTGCTTTTTCTGGCCTGGCTGGCCTGATTATGATCTTCGCTATTTTATATTTCTGCATAGTGGGATGACAGGTGTGCACTACAATACCCAGCTTTTTATAGGTTGGAATGCGGGTCTTGCCTAATCTGTGCCTGGACTGGCCTTTGAACTGCAATCCTCCCCTTCTCTTGCCTCCTGAGTATGGTAGGATTATAAAGCTGGAGCCACCTAGCCCGTCTCACACCCCACATTATTGTATGAAATGCTCTGAGAGGTTTCAAACAGGAAGTAGTCTCCTTTAATTTATTTTAGCCCAACATTTCCCAAATTTTTGTGACTATAGCTTTACTCTTTACTCCCGCCCCACCCCCCCCCATATGTAGCACCTATTGCATGCCTCAGAACTGTTTTTGGTTTATACTGGGAAATGCTACTATTAGCCTTCTGAGAAGTTATAGAAAACTGGCAATGATAGACAGAAAATCAAGGAATGAGGCTGGAGCACCAAAATGCCAGCATGTGTAATGAGATATCCTTGTCTATCAACAGCCTTGAATAGAAACTTCTGGCCCCGATAATCCGGCCAGTGGAGGAGAGGAACACACAAATCCTCACAGACTATCGAAGACTACAGCACAGAATTTGGTCAGCTCCAGTCGTTGCTTGAGTGGGGAGGAAGGAGGGAGCCAATTATAAAAAATGGTGACGTCCTTGGCACTTGGAAGAGCCTTGAAGATACTTCCTGTGAAAGGGGGAGAAGTCTGTGCCTATGGGGAAGTAGAAGGCTAGCAATGATGTTTCCAATGGGTACAAGTAGCAGTGTCATTATTCTAAATGTGTTGGTTTTTTTTTTTTTTTAAGGAGAACAATATTTTCTTACAGACTGTCCTTAGACCCGTTTGCTGGCCTCAGTTTCTGCGCGCCAAAGCCATCTATTATCAAAATATAAATCTCACATTATGAAGCTCAAGTCCTCTCTCCATCTTGCTTGACTTGTGTAAGTCAGTTAAGTCTCTTTTCTCAAAGTAAAAAGGCAGTTTGTTAAAAGGGCATATTTTGTGAGTTTCTACAAGAAATAATAAACTTTTGAAGGACCTTAGATGCAAAGGATTAAGCAATCCACTTCCAAATGCCCATGTTTACAATGTTTCTTTTTCTTAAGTTGTGTCTTTTTGTAGCTGCCCAGAATGTGGAATCAAATAGATAAAAATAAAGCAGTTTCTGGAAAACATGGTTATTGTGCAATTCCAAAAAAAAAAAATACGGTCCTTATTGGCCATCAAGGTTGAACGTCTGCCTCTCTTCTTTCCTGCTTTGTCAATGTTGGCTTTAAACTGATCACAAGATCCTGGAATGCTGTGCTGGAAGGGCCTCAAGAATCATCTATGGATTCCTTCACTTTATAAGGAGGAAGCCAAGTTGGGAAGGTTCAAGTTGCTGCCCTCATACCACACAGCCAATAAGTGACAGAACTAAAGGGGCCTAGAACCAGGCCCCTTGACGTTGGGTGGCCATTTTATTCCTATTGTTATTATTATTGATGTTATTTATTCTTATTTGTATGGAAGCATCAGTTATTTATTACTTAAGATGTGGCAAGAACTGTACCCAACACATATTCTCTTAATCATGACTGTGGTTCTGTGAGATTGGTGTCACTGTTTGCATTTCTGGAAATGAGGAAACTGAGGCTCAGATGGGTCTAAGATTACATACCTGTAACCAGGTAACAAAGCCTGTGTACCTAACCTCACCAGCCATCAGACTCAGACTGGGGGAAGAAGCTCCCCTCAGCTTTTCAACACAGGCCTTCCTAAAGAGAATAGGTTGGTGTTCTTCATGGGACCTTGTTTGGTGAGAACTGGCCATCCTGTAAAGAGGAAAGTGGATCAGATCTTTCCTACCACCCCGAGAGTTCACCATCTTTGACTATTTCTCCACCATGGTCCTCTGATGTTTCTAGTGGTTGATTCTTGCTTTCCTTCTTGGTTCTTAGTGTTTGCCTTTTTTTGCTCACAGTGTGGTTATCAGTGTTACTTTAGAGCTGGCTAGAAATGCAGAATCTCATGTCCTCAGGCTATGCGAATAATGATCTTTTCCTCAGGTGATTCATGTGCACATCAAGTTTGAGAAGCATCACTTTAGTTGGTGTTAAACATAGTGCTTTCCATCTGTAGAATTTCTTTGTCTTAAACACTTGGAATTGTTACTGAATCCTCCCTTTCCCATATTTAATCCCACATGGAGTTTTCCCCTTTCCCTGCTCCCTTCCTCCTGATCACTTCTCCCTCAGGTTAGAGCATGTCTTGTCAATTCTGACACCACAGCTCTATGCTGCCATATTCTGGTCACTACCACCCACTGCACTGGCAATTAACTCCTGGTCTATAGGTTACACATGATGTGCAGGAATTCTGGGAGTGTGAATGCTTCTGAAGAGTCTGCACCCAAAGCAACCTTCAGAGAAGTGTAGAAAAGAAACTTTTATTTGAATTCAAATATCTGGGTTCAAGTCAAGTCCTGGTTTGCTATTTAAGGTCTATGCAACCTCTCATACATGTCTCATGAAGACTCGAGTTCCTTGCCTGTAAAATGGGGATCATTTTATTATCTTCTGTGTTATTATGGGAATGAAAACAAGATATTGTCTCCTTCTGGCCCAGTGGGTAGGTGCATAACAGGGCATGCTTACAAAGGCATTTGCTATTTCTGAAGATAGGGAATGAGGGACCTCTCTGACTCTTCCTCAACCCTCCTCACCTGAAATTATACTCTGTTTACAGGATGTGAGTGACCAGAACAGCCTGGACTGTCCCCAGCTCTATGAACCTGGGCAGCTGAATCTACTTTTTAACAAGCGTAAATTTTCATCTGTGGGCCATGGAGTCTACACCTCCTTAGCTCTTTTCTTTCCCCTTTGGAGCCTTTTACAACGTGGCTGGAGAAGATGGGCAGCATATGGCTGACTATCAGTCCTTCGCTGTAACCATGGCCACATCTTTGGTCATTGTGGTCAGTGTGCAGGTAACCTTGTTTATGAAAGCACCTTAACTTGATGGGTTTAGAGCTGTTGAAATTCCACTTCATTGTGGATGATTTTGTCTCATTGTTGCAGGGCAAGTGATACTAAAAGAACACTGGGGTTTGTTTTTCTTCTCTCTCTCTTTCCTTTCTTTTCTTTCTGGTATTGGGGTTTGAACTCAAGACCTCCTGCTTGCTAAGCAGGTGCTCTACCACTTGAGTTACTCTGCCAGCTCTGGGATTTTTCTTTAAAACTACACATTTTGAGATGAAAACAGGAAAATTTGACATAAATTAGCAGATTTGGGGGAAGCCTAACTTTCATTTTCTAGAAATCTCACAATCACTTCTTTAGGTGGGGTGTTGTGTGTTAACTACTATTTCCTTCTTGTGTTTGAAAAAGAAAAAAATCCAATAGTAACAGGAAGAGAAAAATTCTGTGATTATTTAAGTTAATAAATTTCAAGTTTTAAAGTGAGATGTAAAGTTTGTTTGGCAATACACTTCTGTGAAATTATTTAAGAGATTCAATGTTTGACCCAAATCACAAATTCAGAGAAACTGTTCTGGTGGGATTGAGTTTTGATGCTTCATTGACTTTCTTTCATGGGTATCTTGAGTTGGGATTCTATTTCCTGTTTTATATTTTGGCAGTACTGGAATTTGAACTCAGGGCTTTGTGCTTACTAGGCAAGTTCTCTACTACTTGAGTCATGCCCCTCAACCTTTTTGCTTTAGTTGTTTTTCAGATAGAGTCTTGTGGTTTTGCCTGGTGCCAGTCTTAAATTGTGATCCTCCTACCTTTGCCACCTCTGTAGTGGGTTTACAGACATATGACAGCATACCTGGCTTACTCTTTGAGATATGATCTCACTAACTTTTTTGCCTGGACAGGTCTTGATCCTCAACCCTCCTATCTATGTCTCCCAAATAGCTGTGACTACAAGTGTGAAGCAGGGAGCCTGGCCCACTTTATGTCCTTTTTTAATGCAAATGGAAAGCAAAACCATTAGAGACTAAATTAGAGCTCACACAGAGTTTTTATCTATTCACATCTATAGCTCTTGATGGGCACAGCAAGCAGTATAACCTCTTTGATTTTGCTTTTGATTACTGAGCCAACTTAAGAATCAGGTGAGGGTATGTTTTCGATTCTCTCTTTTTCTGGAGAGGGAAGGGCGCATGTGGAATGTACTGCTCCCAGCTTATTCGGCTGCACATTGGGCCTTTTACCTCGTGTCCCCAGGAGATGACTTGAAAGGCAGTAATTGAGATAACAGGCCAATTGAAAGGAAGAAACAAATTGAAAACCTTCTTCAAACAGTCCTTAACATTGTCTGCTGTATATAAGTATGGATAATAAATTGGGCAATTTGTGATAGGTATGACATATGACAGGTGTGGAATGTTTCTAGTAAAATTGTTTTTCACAATTAGCACTACAAATTTTGTTTAAATTTATCTTTTATTTATTTATCCATGCATTTATTTATTTATTTTCTTTTTGGGGCAGTGCTGGGGTTTGAACTTTGGCCCTCATTCTTACTAGACAGATGCTCTACCACTCAAGCCACTCTACCGGCCTAATTTTTATCTTTTAAATTAAAAAAAAACAGTTAATATTCCTACATGCCCATCTGTATTCTTCTCTTTTTCCTTTTGCTTATCCATAAGTTATTCTTATATGCTCTCTCAGAAGTGTCAGTGGTATGTTTTTATGTTAACTTTATTATTTAAGAGATGTTTTTCCCATAAAGCACACAGTCTTGTTCCAGTTTGATGTCACAGTTGCATTTCTCCTTTTTTTACAATTTGAGAGACCACAGAAACATTACACTTGATAAACATTGTATATTCATAAAAGTGACAGAATTTTTTGTCCCTGTCCTTTGGAGTTTTTGAAATAAACTAATGGAGATGTCTTTCTCTCCATTATCAGAGTTTTATAAGGATGGTATGCATGCTTTTTCAGAGGGAATTCACAGGAGGACTCAAAGTAACCATTGGCTCTTCCCTTGGGGAGTTTAGAGTGGGGTTTTGTGAATCTATTTGGTTCAGGTCTTAATGGATCATGCCAGAATCCAGCCTCTGTCTTCCATCTCCTCCAGAGCAACAGGTCCTACCTCCCTCCTCTTGCCTCCTCACTCATAATGCCCCGCCCACACTGGCCTTCTCTGGCTTCTGGAATTCACCAATCTTATGCCTGCATAAGCCTCTGCTCTTTTCTGCCTGGACTCTTTTTCCCTTTACTACCCTTAGAGGCCATTTTTTTCAAAGAGGCCTCCCTTGCATTAGGCCCCATCATTGCCTCTGATGGAACAGAACTCAGTTCTTTTTCCTCATAGCTCTCACCTCCTCTTGGATGTGCGTATCATTCCCTTGTTTAATAGCTCTCTGTGCTGTCATGGAATGACCAACTCAGCTATACTATATGCTCTAGGGAAGCACAAGAGTAAGATTTAAAGGTCTTCACAAAGCAAGGCACAGCAGGGGGAGGGAGAAGCCCCAGACCATATGGTCCTGGAAGGTGGGACTGTGCCTCCATCCCTGCCTTCTGCAGCTAGGCAGCACTTAGGCCTTAGGTGCACCTGTAGTACCTCTATTCTAAAAAAAAAAAAAAATTGCAGGAGATTTAGGACATGGTGTACAGTGTATGAATGAACCATAATTTATTCAATGAGGCTGCTGGATTGCACCTGTATTTTCACTATGGCAAACAACACGATAACAGACTTTCTATCTTTCTTATACGTCATTCTCAATATGATTCCCTAACTAGTCCCTTAGGATATATTCTGAAGAGTGGGAATTCTGGGTCTAAGGATATAAAGGCACTTAAGGTTCCTTTTTATGTATTGCCAAATATCTTTCCAAACAGATTATTTTCAGTTGAAGGATACAAAATACCCTTCACAACAGACCTTCACTGATTTAGAGTATTTCTCTGAAGTATTTTACAATGTTAAGTTGATGACCTTTGGCTGCTTGGTAAAAAACTAATGTGTGCTAAATAATTTTCTCCATTGGGCTGGAGGTGTGGCTCACATGGTAGAGTGCCTGCCTAACAAACACAAGGTCCTGAGTTCAAACCCCAGTACCACCAAAAGAAAAAGAACTATGAAATTCCCTATTCAAAGAGGAATAATACTGAAAAAGTATTTTCCTTTTGAAAAACACAGTTTCTGCATACTCTCACATAGTTTTTCTCTAATGTTCATTACATACTTTGTTGGATTTGTTAAAACTGGGAAGAAATTAGCATTGATATAGTGCTGCTTACTGAGCTACAGCTTTGATTCTAGTTTCCCTGGTTTTGCTTTTAATGTTTAATGTTCCTTTTGCGGATTCAATCCAGGATCTCTCATTGCATTTGATCAGCACATCTCTAATCTCTGACTGTTCTAATGACCTTTTTTCCTCTGCAATGACCTGGACACTTTTGAAGAGTAGTGGTCAAGTATTTTCTTAGTTTGGGCTGTCTGATGCTTTCTTAGGAACAGATCAAGGTTGTGGATTTTAGGGAAGAATCATGAAGAGGTGACATAATGTGCCCTTTATGTTTCTTCCTTTCAGGCTGTGCAAGAAGGCACTCTGACTTACCACTGCTGCTGTTAACCTTGGTTATGTGGTTGTGATGGTATTTACCAGGTTTCTCCACTGTAAACTTTTTTTTTCTATTCCATATCCTATTCCTTTGAAAGTGAGTTACCAAATCTAATTCACACTCAAGAGGAGGATAATTAAGCCCCACCTTGTAAAAGGAGGAGTAGCAAATAGTTAGTGTTTGTGTGAAAAATCATAACAGATACATTTAAAAATCAAATTGATGTAAGAAACCAGGGCTCAGAAAAACAAGTGATTTTCTGGACGTCACACAGTAACTGCAGGGCCAGGAGCCCACACCTTGATTCCCCAAGCCAGCGCTCTTTGTGAGGGTTGTATTGAAGATTCAGTACTAAACAGAACTTTCTCAAAAGAAAACATTCAAATGGCAAAAAAGCACATGAAAAAATGCTCACCATCTCTAGCAATAATGGAAATGCAAATCAAAACTACACTAAGATTCTACCTCACCCCTGTTAGAATAGCCATCATCAAAAACACCATCAACAACAGGTGTTGACGAGGATGTGGGGTAAAAGGAACCCTAATCCACTGCAGGTGGGAATACAGCTGGTGCAACCACTCTGGAAAAAAATTTGGAGACTTCTTAAAAACCTAAACATAGACCTGCCATATGATCCAGGGATCCCACTCCTGGGGATATACCCAAAAGAATGTGACACAGGTTACTCCAGAGACACCTGCACACCCATGTTTATTGCAGCACTATTCACAATAGCCATGTTATGGAAACAACCAAGATGCCCCACTATTGATGAATAGATCAAGAAAATGTGGTATTTGTACACAATGGAATTTTACTCAGCCTTGAAGAAGAATGAAATCTTATCATTTGCAGGTAAATGGATGGAACTGGAGAACATGATTCTGAACGAGGTTAGCCAGGCTCAGAAGACCAAAAATTGTATGTTCTCCCTCATATGCGGACTTCAGATCTAGGGTGAATGCAGCAATGTGTTTGGACTTGGGCCACAAGACAAGGGGAGAGCACATACGGGAGATATAGGAATAGGTAGAAAACCCAAAACATGAAAACATTTGATGTCTCCACTCCAGAGGAACTAATACAGAAACCTTAAAGCGACAGAGGTTAACATGAGAAGGGGATCAGTAACCAGGGTAAAGATCAGTTAGAGATGAATTAACATGGGTCATAACACATGTGTACACAAAAGCAATGCTAGGAATATTTCTGTATAACTATCCTCAACTCAACTAGCAAAAATGCTTTGTCTTCCTTGTTAGGCTTGTGTCTTTTCTTCAGCAAAATTAGTGATAAAGGCAGAACAGGACCTTCCTGGAACTGAGGGGATGAGGGGGAGAGAGGATAGGGGAGGGGGATGGGGGGAGAAATGACCCAAACAATGTATGCACATGTG